TTATCTGTAGATTTTTTATGGATATCTTTGATCTCTTAGGAAAAATCATTGATTTCACCCAAAAGACAGGTCTTTCTAATGATTTTGAGTGCATTCAAAGCATCTGTGTGGTTAGAGGACTTGAACGATTGGAAGAAGTATAATATGCTCTAATGAAAGGATACTTTACAATTATCAAATAGTTTTTTCTTAAGAAAAAATTAGAAAATAATCACTGTCTCATTTTTAACTGTATGTTAATCAAAAGGTAGGAACATTGTGAATATGTAAAATAGTATAATAAACGTCATCATTAAGGAGATTGGTACGCTAGCGAATCCAGTTATTTATTGCAGGATCATGCAGTCTTACGTTGATGTTACTTTGAAATTTCGATGTTTATATGCATTTCTTATGACAGTCATGAAAATGTTAGGACCATGATGCAATGCGTAGAAGTAATCTGGGACACTTTCAGACAGCAGAGTAATTTTCAAAGAAAAAGTTGGCAAGTCTTGAAAGTCAGAAAGAGAACAAAGCTAGTTTCAGTAAACATTGAAGGAATCGACGTAAAGTTTCAGAGCCAAACACGTTAAATCAAGTCATTTTTTAATATAATTTTTAGAAGGATAACTAAGTAATAGTTTTCAGTACTATATGAAGTAATTTTGAAAGGTATTGTTTATTAGGTTATGGGTACGGTTATTTTTATACTTACATGTGTAAATATAAATAGAAATCGACAAACACTTGCAATAATATTCAATACTCTAAATTTTAGATTTTGTGCCTCCTATCTCCATCGATCCATAAACAACAACAATGACACTCGAAGAGCGAATACAAGAGGTACGAAACAAGACAACTTCCTCGAAGAATCGAAGAGGATCGTTTGAAATTCATGACAAAAAGAAATATTTCTAGATGTTGTGTCTGAACAACAACTAAAATTTATGTACAGACGTTTCATCTGTTGTAGGTCACCACTGATATCGACGAAATCAAACGGATAATCGACTCTACTACTCGCTCTCGCATAAAGCAAAATCTGGAGCTTCAAAAACGCAAATTCAAAAAGGAATTAGTCCAACTTCAGGAATAGCTGCAGAAGCAGCAACAACAACAACAACAGGCTGCTGCTCCAGCGGAAGAAAAATCTGCCAATGGTTAATCAACACCTGCTCCATCATACACAAAGGATATATTAGCCTATGATAGGGCAATAGTACAACAAAGATTTCTATCTGTTTTCTTTTATTGATGACAGCACGGGATCAAAGTGATAAACTTGTCAAGGTCTACGTTCAAAATCTCGATGGCGCAGGCAATTTACCCGAGGACTACATCCAGTGTTCCTTCGAAACAAGGTAACAATTCATGATCAAATTTTTCTCGAATTTTAATGACTCAATATTGTACTATCCTAGTGGCTTCCATCTGCAAATTCAAAATCTAAAAAATATCAACTACTTTTTGAAGAAAGTCGGTCTTCTGCATGCGATTCTACCGGATCAATCAACGTTCAAAGTCTATTTGTCATATCAAATTATCTTTTGCGTTTTTTATAAATTACTCATACATCTAGGTGAAAAAAGATATGGTCATTTTATCTCTACGAAAAGTAGAGTCAAAAAATTGGGAACGCCTTTTAAAGGACGATAAAAAAGCACCTATGCAGTAAGTAAAATCTTTTTGATCTGACGATTTTCTTCATATTCTAATGTAGACCACTCTCGAAACTCGATAATACAAAAGAATCGAGTGAGTCCTTCTTGAATATGGTAGAGGAAATGTACGAAAATGGCGACGATGATACGAAACGAGCTATTGCCAAAGCCTGGGTTAAATCACAAGAGAAGATGAATGCACTTTCCCCTGAATCATGTGATAAAGAGGATCCTGGCATTATTCGAACTTCCGATTTTACAATTTATCCTGCTAAAAAGAATCTATGATGGACAGACATTTTAATTCGGATTTTTGTAATATTTGTCTGCTACAGTGATCATCATTAAATATGCTCATATTGGTTACTGCCGAATATATCTGTCCCGAATTTGAAATAAGTACTATATGGGGCTCGCTCTTTCTATCGTCATTATTATTTTCGTGTGGCCCTTGAAAGTGCTGTTATATGAAAACTTCATCAAACTTGTTTTTAGTGAATGAAATTTACAACTATTCTAAGCTCATAAAAAGTTTCTTCTATACACTTGAGCTTGTTGAAAAGTACTGAGATTTCAAATCGTTTTTCAGAGATCATGTGAATCGACTTTTGGTGGAACTAGGGTGTGGGTGTGGTTAATTAATCAAACCAGATCCACTTCCACACCCATACTTACAGCCACCTACATCCTCCAGATGTTTTTCATTGACAAGCTACCCAACTATAAATCTACGTCGAACCAGCCAGATTAAAGTAACACCAATAGACGCCTACCCAGAGTCATAAACCAACATATGAATTGAGTCCCATCCATTCACAAACACACATCCATGCGTATCTAGCTACACCTATAAACGCACATTCACATCCGCATCCATACACATGCACTCAAACAAAACCTTACACTATAGCAACACACAACCAGGCGTACCTCCAACATCCATACCCATCCCACACCCACATCCAAATCCACATCCAGACCCTATATATAACTTTACTTTCTATTGAATCATCGATTTAAAGGGAATAATTTACATTTATATGAGATTCGCTGGAAAATATGTATTGCAAAATAGACAACCCTTACGAATTTTCAAATAAGCCGTGTCTCTGTCAAAGAGAAAAGAATCCAAACAGTTACTTTATCTTCGTTTCTACGTCATGACCATTTCTATTTCTTTTATCTCAAAATTTTATCATCGACACTAACCCGTTTTACATCTATACCTATCTGTAACATTTTGCTATCTTTTCATCATAGTGAGAAGTCATTAGCGAATGAGTGTCGTGTAGGATCGAATGTTTCAAAGTCACATGCAACAGACAAACATGATGCGATGTATTGTTACAGCACTATCCTGAATGTTAATAAGATTTCAAATACTGTAAGAGTCATCAGAGAATGCAGACACATTATTTCTCACTGACGAGAATTACTAACTTTCGCGTATTCAGGGAAATGTGAAATCAAAAGGAGCAGACAGAGTCATTATTTCACTTAATTGAGATCATAAGAATCTTGGATCTATACACTACTAATATTTAAAGTCCTCATAAGACTCAATCAATATTTTAGCAAATTCATTAATAGACTTGCTTCATCTTAGTTGAAACTTTGTCGAATAAACTTATAGAATAGAAGATTTTTTGTAGATCTTACATTCATTGAACGATGTCGACGGTAGAATCATTATCTGAAGTTGATACAAATGACGATAGTTTAGAAGATGAAACATACGATAACTACGATCCCGATGATTCCAATGATTTCAACAACGACGAGAACCATGATTCCAACGAATTTGACTTCGACGAGAACGATGATTCCAATGATTTCGACCACGACGAGAACAATGACTCCAATGATTTCAACTTCTACGAGAATGATGATTCCAATAGTTTCGACTTCGATGAGAACGACGATTCTCATTCTTGGGTAAATACAGAAACAAAGGCATTTCATTTGGTTAGGCATCGCACGTCTAATGGTTCAACAAACTCGAATTCATCTACTCCATTTCTTAATGATTCGCTTAAAATCTATTTGAACGCTCCTCCACTTATTCGAGAAATTCATAACACGGGGACATACTGTTTAGTGATTGATCCGATCACTGATGAATCTGAACGCATGCCTTTATCAACTCCTCAGCTGTATGTAGGCAATATACCATATTCCGCAAAATGGTATGATCTAAGAAATTGGTTTGCCGAACGCGGTTGTAACATCAGCCGTGTTGACATGAAAAAGAATCAGGTAAGAGTAAGTTCATGAGTTTGTTCATTGTTTAGCAGCATATCACTTTTAGAAAGGTGCTCACTATGCCTTTGTTCGCTTTGATTGTGTAGCCACTGCTGCTGAAGTTCTGTATCACAGTGAACACAAAACAGCGTCCTTCGTTTTTAATGGTCGTCCATTATATTTAAGGCGTTGTATGTCATTCACTCAAAAACATGCGAATACTTCTCTGGACATATCAAAGGCGGACAATTCAAAATCAAATGTGACTTTAAAAATAACCAACATTCACTATGGTACATTAATACCAGGAACATCTCTGAAAAATATACAAACAGTCGAGAATACGGCTTCAAATACTGACCGATTTGGTATCATCGCACATACTCTTGAAATCAATAAATGCAAAGATTTTCATCTGGAAGTCAATAAAGATAAGAAAAGCATAGCAATAACCAGTACATTGGAGTTAAAGTGGGGACCTGATTCTATTAACTATACTATACTCAAGTTTGAATGGAATTTTCATGAGTAAGTTCTGTTTTATTTTAATTAAATATTTAGAACATTGATTTTTTTGAACTTTACTAGCATAATATTATTGAAATATAAATTAGTTTTTTTGAGTTTTCGATATCTTGATTTGTTTGAAAAGAAAAAATCTTTTTGCAATTTAGTTTGAAACGTAGAAAGATAACATTAGTTTTAATCAATGAAAATGAAGTCTTTTTACTGATGGAAATTAAGCAACCTCCAATACTATTGGAAACAAAAGACACTGGTTCTTCAATCTCTGAAAGTCATGAGGAAAAGCGTCTACCTGGCTTTGGACTTATTGGTCATGCTAATGTGTGGCTCTTTAAACTAGCTTCAAATGATGGGGATAATAATATTAGAAAGTTAATCCAGCTATTAAGTGACAACAATTTATTATCAGGAAATTTATCTGAATCTGATATCATTTGTTCGATTCAAAATATTGAGTCTGCCAAGAAGAATCTTGAACCCATCACATTAATATCAAATGACAAGTGGATAAGAGAAAATCAAGCTAAAGTAGATAGTTTCTTTAATCATCGATGGCCACTGTATCCTTTTGAAACAAAATTCGAAACCATGAAACTTATCTCGAAACATATCGTCACTGTTCATGATTTAATTGTTGATGAACGAGCTGAACATATTCTACAGTTATGTTCAATTAATACATTAGTTGCTCTTACTGGTAAATAGAAAAAAAAAAGTACTATTTGATTTTGTTGTGCTAATGATATTTCATGATCTTTGCAGATAAGATTTTCGAGTTTGCTCTGCTATGGTGTGCTAAAACTTGTGATAAGGAAGACGATGATTGGAATAATCAAAATGAATCTGAAGAAAATCAATTGCCAAACATGGACGATCTTCCGATCACTGATGACGATTTTTTCATTTCTAAAAATATTCGATTTGCCGCTACTGGAGGTTTCATCAATGCTGAAATAGCATCAAAGATGACAACCATGGAATCATTAGGATTGGAAAAGTATCCTGGTGGAAGATTGAGCCGTCTGTTTAATTTAGCTTTTGAAAAATTACTCAAAAACTATGAACTTTGTAGAACAGCAAGCGGCATTGTTTTAACTAGACTTGAATTACGTACAGCGAAAAATGACTCATTTTTGACACGTAAGATATATATAACACCGTCAACCATTCTTTATGAAGGTCCTTATTGTGAAGAAAAATGTGCTGTTACGCGTGAATATGTTCAGTATCAAGATCGATTTCTTCGTTTAACTTTTCGTGATGAAGGTGAGACGATTGATTTTAAAATATCGCTTTAAATTTTCACATGACATCAATTTTCCATATAGACTATCGTGTATTACATAATTACAACGATAATATGGCGAAGATGTACGAACGCATTAAAAAAATCTTGAAAAATGGAATTAATGTGTGTGATCGAAATTATCAATTTTTAGCTTTTTCAAGTTCACAATTACGTGAACATTCTTGCTGGATGTTTGCTTCACCAGACGATCGTACCACAGTTGATATTATTCGTGAATGGATGGGTGACTTTCGAAATGTTCATCCTATAGCCAAGTTAGCTGCTCGTGTACGCTTAGTAAAATATTTATTTCGAGATTTTGAGCATCTATTGTCTTTCTAGTTAGGACAATCATTTTCAACCAGTATTAAAGGTATCCAATTAGAAAGTCATCAAATAAAGGAAATATCAGATGAGAGAAGATCCACAACAGAAATAAACGGTATTCATGAATATTGTTTCACAGATGGTATTGGCATTATTTCTCTTACATTGGCCAAAAGATTAGCTAGAACCATGAAATTACCTGAAACAGTTTGTCCATGTGCATTCCAAATTCGTTGCGGTGGCTATAAAGGTAATATTCTATCTTGATAAAACTATTACAATATAACTTTGAAGGATAAAAAAGTAAACGATCGAAAATTTATTGTAGGTATGGTTTGCTTGGATGTCGCTGGTAAGATTAACAATCCAAATATAGATGTTTACTTTCGCGAATCTATGAATAAATTCGCTGCAAAAACACTTTCTATTGATGTTATACGTACATCATTGCATCCAACAGTTGCATATCTGAATAGACAAATAATTTTACTTTTGTCATCTCTTGGTATTGGTGATCAGATTTTTCTTTCATTACAAAGCGATATGCTAAAAATGTTAAAAGCATTAGAAGGTAATTTTCTTGAGGCATGCGAAACATTAAAAAAATTGAGTAACTTTGATGAAAATGGTTATCATGGATTTTTAATTGCATATTTAAAACATTTACGTGAACAACGAGATCCATTTGTTCGACAGCTTATTCGTGTTATTCGAACTTCTCTTGTTAAAGAATTACGAACAAAAGCAAAAATTTTTGTACCGAATTCATGGTCTTTATTGGGTGTGGTAGATGAAAGTCGAACACTCAACTATGGTGAAGTTTTTATTCAAATCGATTCTAGTAATGAACAAAGAGATGAATCAACAGGAAAAATTTTTCGAGGCCCTGTAGTAGTAACAAGAAATCCATGTTTTCATCCAGGTATGGAATTAATAACAAATAATAATTGAATTAATTTTGTAGAGTGACTTTTAATCTATTCCTTTTTTTTCTAATGGAAAGGTGATATTCGAAAACTGACAGCAGTCAATGTACCTGCTTTGCATAGTTTAAAAAACGTTATTGTTTTTCCTATGAATGGACCACGTGCTCATCCTGCAGAAATGTCTGGCGGTGATCTTGATGGGGATACATTCTGGATAAGCCGCCATCCAGATTTAATATTCAAAGAAAACGAAGATCCATTTGATTATCAAGATCAAGATCATGAAGCTAATAAAATGCAAACAACCAATGATGTCCAACATATGATTGAAGATGTTTGTAATTTTTTTGGTGAATATATTGCAGCTGACAAGTAAGCTAAAAAATTTTCATCTTACATTAACCAATGGTATTTGTTTTAGTCTTGGTCTTATTGCCAATAGTCATCTAGCTCTTTCAGATCAATTAGAAGACGGCGTCCGAAACAAAAACTGCCTTCAATTAGCTAAAATGCATAGGTACGTTAAGATGAATCTATAATCACTATATATTCATGATATTATAGTTAAGTCAAAGTACAAATAATCTTTGATGTTTTGCTCGTTTATAAATAAGGCAACGAAGCTATATATATTACCGTTATCACTACGACAATACACTGTCATTTTTTCCGTTAGATTGGGATTTAAAAAATCTTATATTATTGAAGAAGTGTTGTTTCGTTTTTGAAAGGCAATACTTATGATCATAAGAAAAATATATCGATAGAAAATATAGCGGTACACTCTTAAAACCCACTGGTCAGAACTCTTCTTGAGCATAAACATGACTTTACAGTCTTTCTTAAAATCTCTCAAAAAAAAAAGCTTTTCATTTAGAATTTACTGGGAAATTTTCATTCACTTATAAAGCAATTTTGGATATTCCCATACCATTATTTCACGACTAACACGTATATTCGAATTTCTAGAAACTAGAGCATACCTAATAAAAAGAATCGTACAAGTTTTCGGTCGAGCCTTTCCATCCAAAAGAACCAGCTACATTACATACAACTGACTATTCAGTGATTCTATTAATGTCTGCAGTATTTTGACATGAGAAAATTTAAAATAAAAAGTTTGATGTGTTCTTGGTATACCATTATGAATAGGAGCTTTCTTTCAATAAAATTATTCAGAACTAAGTTGTCAAATTGTCACGAACAACTCATTATACATTTGAAAAATAATTAAAAACTAACTCTAGAAACATTTATATGTATGGCATCAAAGTATTTTTATTTTTCAAACTCTACTAGTTCATTAGTAAAATTACATTCGCATACAATTAGTCACTGGATCGAAATTTTTGGAAAATCAGAATTTTCAAACTTTTCAACTTCACAATATTTCGAATACGATGTTCATGAAAAAGCAAATGTGAAACTTAAAATTATAGACATTAAACATGCTCGTCCATATGTTAGTTATTGAAAGTCAGCTATAGCTGTTGCACTGATATCTATAGATATTATATAAAATTATTTTTCATGTCTCCTAATGAGATGTGTCAGAAACACGGTTAAAATTTGTACCTATTTCTACCATCACCTAGCTATCATTCTACTGATGGGTTTGATCTTTGATCGTAATTCTAATGTTATGAATATAATAATCTTTGTTAGAAAAGTTCAAGTCATATTTCTCTTTTTGTATACAGTGTGGCTGTAGATTTTGCCAAAAAAGGAGTCAATGCACCTCATCTTACAAAAGAGCTTCGTCCTTCACAGTATCCACATTTTATGGAAAAAAACGACAAACCAACTTATCATTCAAAATCTATTCTCGGTCAACTCCATGATAAAATTCCGTTTTATGGTAGCGATATACATATTGATGAAGAAGAAGAAATCAGAGCAACATCATCATTTCCCTATAAATCGTTTTTTATTGCTGGTGATAAAAACTATATAAAAGATGCTCGAATTATAAAAGGTGAATATGACCGAGACATATTAAGAATCATGCGGCAATATGGTATTCAAAATGAAGCTGAAATTGTATCAGGTTGTCTTCTTAAATTTACTTCAAAACAATATGCAAAAGAAACCAAAATTTTCGATTTAAGAAATGAAATTACACATGCATACAAAGTCATACGAGATAAGTAAGGATATGCACGAAATTTCTTCTTGTTTTTTTGATTTTTGATTTTCTTTCTTCTCAGATATTTGACTCTCTTCTGGAAAGAATTCTATCAAGTAACAGATGAATCAGATGAGGAAAAAGTTTCATGGTCTGAAATATCGAAAAAACTATCTTGGAAAAATCAAGTTGACATATATGAATATTATAACCAAATGACACTATCGGATGCAGTCAAACAAAAAGCATCAGCATGGTTTCATACTACTTATGAGCCATGGATCAAACGTATAGAAACATATCGAAAGATCAAAAACAAGAAACAAAACAAATCTATGGATAATCAACGAACAAAACAATTTACACGATTCAATGGATTATTTAGTTTTGCTTGGTTAGTGTATCCTGTCTTGTTAGAGATATATACTGAAGATGAAAAAGTATCAACAACGAAAAAGAAAAACAAGAGAAAAAATGCACCTATGGAACCTACCATTCAGACTAAACGGCCAAGAGTCAATCAGCATGACTGAAGTTCTCAGACACAAAAGAACTGATCATCCTCAATAAAATTTTTTATGTAATTATTTCTATTATCTGAGTCGATCCGTCCAATTTTTTCTAATAATCACGAGAAAAACCAGAAGTTACGAGCGTAAACTTGGCATATTCCATCCAAACATTCTTTAAAAGGGCTCTATTATGTTCTTTCATAGCTGGGTGTGGATGTGGGAGCAGATGTAACTTCCGCAGATCAATCTCGAAAGGAAGTGTACTGACATGTTTTTGCTACCATCAATATTATTCGATGACTAGTATTGTGTCAATCGAATAAGTATTAACCCTTCCGTTCACCATCGAACCTACATCCGTTTGTAGTGCTGAATGAACAGACTTGCTTAGAACAGAACAGTTCTCATTGACTGTACGATAGTAAGAATTGCCACTTTTATATGCATACGATCCTTTGTCAGATGGAACCCAACCAAACATATTATCATTGTTGTTTGTATTACATTGCACTGAAATAGTTAACCATTTCATTGTTGAATCATCAGAATTAACTGTCTCACTCTGTTTAATAGCATTACCAGCATTAACCACAAAACCTATGTGTTGTCCAACATAATCGAATTGTATTTGAATCGAATGTAATTGTAGCGGCTGTTTCAACGCGAATTGGCAATCACAGGCATAATTATGTGTTTTTCAGCGAACGCAGTATTACCGTCTCGTTTTCAGATATTTAGTAAATTAGTTGTATTGCCACATCCTTTTATTACATGTTGTTTACTACTGAAACTACCAACATTTGAAATCATTTTGGAAAAGGACAGAGGTCGATTTGCGTTGTTATCGCCCCCCCCCCCCCCCCCATAGAATGCATGATCAATTTTTCATAAAACTTTCAGCAATCGTAATACTCATAGTCAGTCGTTATTCCTATAAATTTCAGTTTGATCGGTCAATCTTTCGCCTTACTTTGGTGACCCACTAGATAAGCCACTAAGTGACCTATATTAGTCACCTTGTCTACCTTCGCTCTCCACTATATCATTCAGAACCAAAGTCATTTTTTCAGTATCAATACTAAGCATCAAGAGCTTCAAACGTGCTCGAACAAGTGCTTGCAAAAAACAGCTGTCTTCTAGTCTTTTCCCATAGTAGACCGTCCATCTTGTAGCAAAAGTATGTGACAAATGGTATCCAATATCCATGAGGGTGGGTGTGGGTGTGAGTATAATTGAAAAAACAACCAAAATAGTTTCGACAAGAATAAATATATTGGCATACATTTTTGTTTTCTTTCTTTTTTCGGATGGAGAGAATAGAACAAAAAATAACTACTAAATCGACTCCATAATGACAATGTCATTGTGCAATAACATGTGTTAGAAATTAGGTAAATAGTGAGTATAGTTCGTATTTTACATTATCAAAACAAAACAGCAGTCAAAACATGTTGCCATCTACGTTTGAAACACTACCTGATGAAATTCTAATGATTATTATACGATATTCTGGTGATATTTATACAATATTTCGAACATTTTCTGGCGTAAATCAACGTATAAATAATATTCTTGTCGATAAACGTATGCATTTACTCACTGATTTTCTCTGTATGGATATCACGGATGTAAATATTGATTATTATTATAAATCAGAAGTATTTGATGACATATCTCAACAATTATTATCTTTGACAATAACAGAAAACGATCAACAATTTCGTCAATGTCTTCAATCATTAATTGTTTTTCATATCAAATATAAATATAAACAATCAGCTGATCAGTTAAAATCAAATATAAAACAATTTCAATGTTTACATATGCAACTTACTGATGATGATGCTAACAATTTCGATATGGAATTAGCGAAAACATTCAAGGATTTAAAAAAATGCTCAAAATTTATGAATAATATCAAACGAATTGAATCATTAGTTGTCATCAAAGGTGCTAAACTTACATGTCCTAACAATGAATATCTTGACTTTAATTTTGCTGAAGCCGTAAACCTTTTATTACTAGACAACATTGTCACTGTTTCACCTATATCTCAACGATTTATTAATTCCATCATTCAAATGTTTAAAGTACTCGTGATTTCGAATTTGAATCTTCTACATAATCGAGCTTATGTTGTCAATGGTGGTTGTGTAATCTATTTCTTTCTATTCTATTTAATCTATCGATGTCATGCTTGGAATTGTAAAACATCATGTACCTCTTTTAATATTCAATATTATGAAGCTACAGTAGATTTACTTCTTTTTACTTTACAATGTCTAAATTATGAATGTGTTAGAGAATTTTAGTGGATTGATAGTATTGTGGATTTATTCAAGTTCATTAGTCCAATTCAACTTAATATTGATCAGGAAATATTTGTTTATACAAGTCAAATTGAAATATTAAAAATTGTACTTGATGAAAATATTCTAAATGTGTCAATGTCATCAGATGAATCGTTGCCTTATAATTTTATAAAATCTCTAGGGAATTTAATCATATGCAATCGACTCGATATAATTCTTTTCATTTTTCATTACAACGAACATGTAAGAAATCTTTTTCAATCATGTTGGAATAGTCGAAAATTTATTGGGATATTGACTGGAAATCAAAAGAGAAGAAAATTCTTTCATGACATGTTAGATGACAAACCAATAAGAACATGGTTAACAACAAATACAAATCTATTGTTTATTCTATTAGAAAAAAAAGAATGTAAACTTGTGAAACAATTATTAAATCTATCACCATCATTTATTCATCGATTAGATGAAGATGGCAATGATCCATTACTTTATGTTTGTCTTAAAGTATGTGGATGTCGACATAGATTAATCGAATATTTAATCAGAATGGGATCTGATTTACGAAGAAGAAATTTGAAAGATGAAAATGTTTTCGATGTATTACAGTTGAAAAGAAATAGAAATTTATTGGAAATTTTGATTGAACACGATATAATTTAAATCGATATCGAATCTAGAGAAGTACAAGTTGATTTAGTTAAACTATCGCAATGATAACAACATTTTTTTTTGGCGTTTTTCATATTTATTAAGTAATATCTTGCGTGAGGAGATTGATTAATTTTAATCAAAATAAAGTTAGCAAAGTCTAGAGTTTTCTATACGCAATCCATCTGTTTCAGGCTTGTCAAACCTCTTGATTTTTGGACTTTTCTCCTGATAGAAAATCTCCTGATTTCAGAAGCCGATTTTCAACATTTTCTCCTGATTTTTAGTTTTTTTCCTACTTGGTTGTTAGCGATACTTTGAACCAATAAGAGAGTTAAAAGGAAAAAAGAGAACTGTCGCAGTATTTAATACTTATAGTAACGAATAAGAAAATACTTGCTTTTATTTCATTTTTCTCTGTAAAAAGAAAATCATCAATTACATGACCTAATTGTATACAAAGTACTTGTTTTACTGAAGATAGCAGAAAAGTGCATGTTATTGTCTGAAAAATAAGATTTTGAAAATCAGACAAGAGATCGATAGATAAAATTTTAAATGACCAGGCAAAATGCCTCTCATCTGGAAAGAATTTTACATTTCTTGAAAATCACGTCGGATCCTTTTTAGCTCAGAATAGGACAATATCTTGAATAATCAAGCAAGATTCCTGCGTTTCATTTTCATTATTAGTATGGAATTGCTATAGGCTGATTTGCACTGCTATTTTGTTGTCAAAGTCTGATAGGAATTACAAACACGAAAAGAATGAATAGATCTATAATACAACAAAAAAAAAGCAAAGGCACCAATAAAAAAGAAGCAGAAATAATAGCCATTTCGATAAAATGTTCATTTAATAGATCATAAAAGGCTTAAGAGAAAAACAACTTAGTTTGTTAAAAGTTAACTTATCTTGTTTTTATAACATATTAACGGTATAAAACTCTCATTGCAAAAATGAGCGAAGAAGTACGTGTAAACGATTCATATAGTGGTGTAAGAAACAAAGAATGATTGTCTTTCTTCCAACTCTGGTAAGAGTCTTTCTATCGTTCTATTAATTTATTTAAATACTTTTGCTTGAACTTCACAATGAAAGAGAATTTTGACTGATAGATCAGAATAAAAAAGAACCTGGAAAGAATGAAGATAAGAATATTAACTGGCCAAGTGTATATAATAGATATAACTAAAAACAAAAAATGTTTTTATGATTCTGCTATACACAGCAAAAAACATTACTTGTGATAGAACTCAAGTGAAAATAATATCATTTGTATTAAATTATTCATCATCAACTTGATATGAAAGAGACAAAAGTACTTATGTGAGCGAAAATTCAAATTTTCTACGAGAAAATCATCTAATATTCTCCTAACTTCAAATAGAAAAACTCCTGGTTGTTCTCCTGATTTATAAAAGAATTTCTCCTGGTAAACTCCTGTTTTTTAATAAAAAACTCCTTATTTCCGAAATTTCAATTTGGCAAGCCTGTTGTAGACACTTGCATGCACATTATCATTATTTATCATCTTTGATAGCACGAACGGATGAAACTTACAAACAACGGATAACATTCCTTCTCTCGTTTTCCAATAGCGCAAGTGAATCTGAAATCAAGAATTTCTACATTGTTTTAGACGACATAAGGATATCTATCAACAAAGTCAAACTAACTAACCAAGTAGAACATGAAAAGATTCATTAAGTTGCATGAGAACAATATCTTAAAGTACCGATTTGTAATTAGAATGAAAAATGGACCATGGAGGAACAGAATAAATCAAATACGGATAGAAGAGAAAAGAAGAAATGGAAGTGAAGTAAAACAAATAGAAAAATAGACATGAGAGAATAGAAAAAGTACAGAATTGTGAAAAAATTAAATGGCTGAAAAATCGAAAAAAAGCGGAAAAGAAACATTTTAACATATGTGAAGTTCATCGACTCATCAAAATTGACTTTTTTCTAGTTCTAAAACATCTGCTAATAGTAATAATTTAAGGAGTTCACAACCAGGTTATTCATTATGCTAAGTAATTCTATAGAGATTGCTTGTAATAAAAACTTAAAGAATATCGTCACCAGTGATTGGATGAATAAAACTGGTAAAAACACGTTGTTCTCATAGTTAACATTCGTGTATGAGATGTGTCATTTTTACTGTTTTGTTTTTTGTATTATACGACCAGTATTATTGTCATCAAATGTAAAAGTAAACACAAACAACAAAGAAGAAAACCGCTTTCAGGTTTGTTGCATAGTCAGTTTCTTTATTATTTTTCCCAATGTCTAAATGAGAGAACACGGAAAGCATAGTAACTTGCTTGACCCGAGAAAAGATAAAAAATTGGTTGAATAAGGCAAATTATTAAATACGTGTATGATTAGGCTTACGAGGGAACATTCCCAGGTGTTGGAACGCTTTTGAGTCTGGACTTTGCGCATCTTGTAGGCCTTGATGAATTATGTCTACCGTAAAAAAAGTTCGTGCCCCTAGCTTGTTCCTAATGGGATATCGAGGTTTTAGTGAATTTTCCTATAAGACCCCACATTTGTAGCAAGGCCATATTTTTTAATTTTGATCTGAAACTTTGTCCACATAAACACCTCAGCTAGACTCGTTTGCATAAAAATTTTCAGAACTTTTGGGCAAAGTCTCTCCGAGATATGACGCTTTCAAAAAATGCATGCTTTATACGCTATCTATGGAAAACGACCTATACGTTGAGAGCTTCATATCTCGGAGAGACTTTGTCCAAAAGTTCTGAAAATTTTTATGCAAACTAGTCTAGCTGAGGTGTTTATGTAGACAAAGTTTCAGATCAAAATTAAAAAATATGGCCTTGCTGCAAATGTGGGGTTTTATAGGAAAAATTCACTAAAACCTCGATATCCCATTAGGAACAAGCTAGGGGCACGAACTTTTTTTACGGTAGACATAATTCATCAAGGCCAACAAGATGCGCAAAGTCCCGACTCAAAAGCAATTCTGCACAGTATGATAGTCGTTCATTCACAGTTGAAAGAATAAGTCAAATATCTTTATTTTCTTGAAAATAAATATATTATTTGTAATTCTCATCTGACACCTGATTTTCTTTTTCTTCCATTTCATCCTTGATCACATTTCCTTTGCAATAAAATCATATAGATATGAAACTTATTCCATGGTTTTTGTTTTTTTACATAAATATCTTTTTCATGGATCTATTTGGTTCATACATAAGACATATCATAATCGAACATTTCGTACAACATTAGAATTAGATGATTTATTCAGCTTATTTTTTGCATTATATAAAGTGATGGAAAAAAGTTTAGAAACAACGACTTTTTTATAATGTTAAGCACGTAACTCCAATCCAAATAGTGATTTTAATAGTCAATGGAGTTTTCTATTCAATACACTTTATAGTAAGATTTCACAGATGAACAATGATGGCAAGACTCCTAAAAAACTAAACACAATATTTTTCAGTTTTTAGAAGACTTTGTCAGAGCTATTTTTGAACAGTGTCATCTTAAAGAGCAAGATGAGGGATCACCGAGTTTTCTACAACCTGCTCATAAAAAGTTACAAGCTTCACAAAAATCACGAAAAAACGAAATTTTTTTTAAAATCGACTAAAATTGCCTTTTTTCATGATTTTTGTAATGCTTGTAACTTTTTACGAGAAGGTCATAGAAAATTCGACGACCTCTCATTTTGCTCAGAGTTTTGTGTTCTTTGAGACGGCACCGTTCAAAAATAGCACTGGCAAAGTCTGCTAGAACCTGAAAAATACAGTGTTCGGTTTTTTTTAGGAGCCTTACCATCATTGTTCATCTGTGAAATCTTTCTATAAAGTGTATTGGATAGAAAACTCCATTGGCTATTAAAATCACTATTTGGATTGGAGCTACGTGCTTAACATTATGAAAAAAACCAAAAAAATCGTTGTTTCTAAACTCTTTTCCACCACTTTATGATGGATTGATCTATCAATGATATTCTTTATGGAATAAGATATCAAATAATTATTTCAAACAATTTCAACGAGCTCATCAACATCATCATATGTATCGATATAAGAAACTTAGTGAAGAATTTTTGACTTCTTCTTCTCATTGATAGAAAATCTTGGAATGTAATATTTATTAATTAATCTAGGTTTTTTTTTCTATAATTAAAATAAAAACTATATTTATTTCATTGGTATTTTTGGCATTCATATGAAATATCTTTTATTCTTTTTTTCTTTTTAAGATACAACAAAAAAGTAAATTGAATTTTTTTCATACAAGTACATTAAATATGAAAATGAAATATTTTATTCCCATTCTGTTGTTGCTAAAAAAAAAAACAAAGAAAAATATTTCAAAAAAAAAATTTTATGTTAATTTTTCTACCTGGTGGTTTTGATGTTAAATCATATAAAATTCGACTTATACCGGGTACATTACTTTTAATTGTTTGACACATATCATCTAACATTTCAAAAGGAAATGTTTCACCAGGTACAGCTGGTCGTCCAGTCATAAAATCTTTTGTAAGAAATGTACGTAAAACAACTGAATGTTGAAAACTACTAGCTATTGGTCGAAGACGTGTAAGTGGAATGATTCTTTCATTAATATTTTCATCTGTTTTATTTATTTCTTCATGATCATTTAAATAAATTTGTCTATCAAATTGTATTGGAATTAATACGACTGGCATTTGACTCAATGCACTATAAGCATTATAACGTTTTAATATAACCATAGCATGATCATCACATGCACGAGCTTTATCAACAATATCTTGTGTTAATGATGTACGTGTTACTTGTGTAATTTCTGCATCAAGAATTTTTTTACCCTAAACAAAAAATCAAAAATTTCAAAACATCAAAACTTTTATATTTATTTACAAGAATATAAACAACTCGATTGATATGATGACATGCTTTTGTTATTAATCGAGCAAGAATAAATAATTCATTCCAATTAGGTTTTTCATCATTAGAACTAATTGCTGCAGCAAA